AACACAAGTAGAATTCTATGTGCTAAAAATGGGCCTTTATCTCAGACCACAAACAAAAATTCATGCAAAATAAACCAACACCTAAATTTAAGAATTAAAACATAAAACACACAGAAGAAAGCATAATGTAAACCTTTACTTTCTTAGAGTTGACAGTGGATTCTTAGAATTGACACGCATATCACAGCAACAACAAATGAAAAACTGGATGTTATACTCCACTAAAACTTTAAAACTTTCGGGCCTCCCTGGTGGCATGGGATTAAAGACACAGCACTATCAAGTATCACCAGCCACTGCACCATGAGTTCAGTCTTGGTCAGGGAGACAACCCACATGGCACAGCAGACCTCTCCTGTCTCATGCACTGCTCCCCTCAGCAGTGTATTTCAGTAGATCCTACTATTCTGCTCCCCACTCTGTCTCTGGTGAATCCTCTCATGCCCCCTCCCTGCACCTCTGGCCTACACCCCAGTTCTTGTATGTATAAATAAATAAATTTTTAAAAAAATTTTTTTTAACTTTCATACATAAGAGGTCATGTAAAGAAAGTAAAAAGATGACCTATAAATCAGGAGAAAACCTTTGCAAATAATACATCTACTAAAGGTCCAATTTTAAATGGGCAAAGGGCTTAACAGATTATTTCTCCAAAGTAGATATTCAAATAGCCAACAAAATACGGGTAAAGATGATCAGCATCATCAGTCACCGGAGAAATGTGAATCAAGCCCATAATGAGATACTAATTCACACCCATAAGAATTTTTTTAAACAAGAAAACAAGTATTGATTAGGATGTGAATGTTAGAATTCCTACAATGGTTCAGCTGTGTTTGTAAAGTTTAGCAGTTCCTCAAAATATAAGAGTTACCATAAGATCCTAGGAGTAATGAAAACATATCCACATAAAAACCTGCACATAAAATCTCATACTAGCATTACTGATAAAAGATACAAAGTAGGAACAACTTATGAATCAACCAATGAATGGATAAACAAAATATAAATATAAACACAATATTCTTTTTTCAGCAACAAAGACATGAAGTATTGATATATGCTACAATGTAGATGAAACTTAAAAATATCACCCTTAGTCAAAGAAATCAGTGACAAATTATCATATATATGATTTGATTTATAGTCAATGTCCAGAATAAGCAAATGCTCAGAGATAGAAAGTAGATCTGTGGTTGTCAGGTAGCAGCCAGGAGCAACTGTGACCGAGTGATAATAAGAAGTTTCTTTTTGGGGATAATGAAAATATTTTAAAATCGACTGTGGAGATGGTTGCACAACTCTGTGCACATACTAAAAACAAACTCACAAAATTGTACACTTTAAAAGTATGAATGTCTTAATAAATTTATAAGAAAAAAACAGACTCAACTTTTGCCATATTAAAAAAGAAAATCCTCCCTTAGCCTTTTCTTATCCTCTGCTACCATCTTTCTATTACTTCTTTCACAAATAAGATTATTTTTAAAATATTCAACATTTGTTTACTCTGCTCTGACTGCCCATTAACTAAATTCAGTAAAACCTAGTTCCCTCTCCAAATGGCAGCACTAGCTAGAATGCTACAAAATTGTTCTTACTTAATTTTCAAATTCAATTGACTCCTAATAATCCTTGTTTTACTTGTGTTCTCAAAGCATTTGATGTACACAGTGTCGTTTTTATTTTTTTCCGGAAATTCAGTTGTGAAAGATTAGCTTCCTTCTGAATGATCCTATTTGGCAACTACAATGTTTTTTCATGAATTCTCTACATCTCTCTAAACACTTAGGTTCTTTTCAAATTCCGCTTCCCTATACGACTTTCAATGTTCTACACAGTTTATTTCTATAATGATCCATCAGTAAACTGTTTCTCTGTGGTGTGACCCAAGTCCAGTTACCAACTATAATAACAGCCTCAAGACTCCCACGTGAAGACCTCTCTCTAATATACTCTAAAGTGCACATCCAACTCTGTAGCAGATGTTTCCATTTAATGTTTCACAAATAACTCCCACTCATTATGTCCAAAAGCTAAAGTCCTGTTTTCCCCCCAATTTTTCCTCTTCCTGAATTCCCTGTTTCAGGATACTTTGCCTTTATCTATTGACTCAAGTTAAAAATGCAAACCATCTTAATTCTATTTCTTACTCCCAAATCTAATGGTCACTGAATCCTATTTTTCTAAATATTTGTGCTATTAATGTAGTCTGCATTTGCCTTAATATGGACCCTCACCCCCATCTCAGTTATTACAAAACCTCCTAACCAGTCTTTCTGCACTGTTGATCTTCCCTTCCATCCCTTCTTAAAACTATATTGTATACTTTACAATACCAGAATCTTTCTAAAATCAAAGCTTAATACCATCTTCTCTGAAAAAAAATCTGTAATTACTAGTATTATATGGGGGGGGGGACCTTAAAATCCTTAGAATGGCTTACAATATTGAGAATCTATTTAGCCTCACATGCTAATTATCAATTTCCCATTCTTAAGTGTCCCAACTCACTTATCATGTTCAACTGTCCCTGAAATTTTCATTCCTTACCCTCCCATTTTCTGTTTCAGTCATGCCTAAGACTTTAAGGACAAAGTATGAAAAACCTAATATAATATCTGACACATAGTGAGGCGTTAAAAAATGGATTGAACTGATTTAGGTCTCTCTTTAGCCTGTTTTAATGACACCTATAAAAAAATAGAGGATAGGCCCTCCCTGGTGGCACAGTGGGTTAAAGCACAGCACTGAGAAGCTAAAGCCACTTCCGCATGAGTTCGATCCCTGCCTGCCCTGGAGGTGACCCACATGGCGCAGCAGACCTCTGCTGACCCACCCACTGCTCCCCTCAGCAGTGCACTTCGTCAATCTGCCTGTTCTGTTCCCCACTCTGTCTCTGGTGAAGCCTCTCACTGCCCCTGAGCCTCTGGCCTGTACCCCAGTTCTGTATGAATAAATAAATAAATCTTTTTAAAAAAAAAAAAGAGGATAAGGCTGAAATTGCTTTAACTGTATACAAGACTACCCATAATTTGGTCACCCCCAGTTTCATGTCTACCCATGGCCCTATACTCTCACTAGCTGTGCTTGCAGATCCTACAGCTCACCTTGCAATTCTATATTCCCATGCTTTTGTGCACACTGTTCCTTCTACCTAAATGCCCACCCTTTCCATGCCTGTACACTTACTGTTATCATCTCCTATATAAAGTTGTAACCTCTCCTCTTTACTTAAGAAACTGATCACTACCCCTATGTGCATCCACTGTATCCCCATACTTTCCCTGAGCAAAGCATTTTTAAAAACACACTGTACTTGCAGACAATTCAAGAGATAAATCCCTATTGTCCTGAAGGCAGGGGCAATGCCTTATCCATCTGCAAGTTTTCTTCACCTGGCACTGTATCTGCTATACGTAAATCCTCTATAGACAATGATCCACATTTTTCCTTATTCCCTCCACATACTTTAACACAGGTTTCTGTCAGGAATGTTCTTTCAAGAACAAAAGAACAAATTATTGGATTAAGTCTGGGCCCAGTTCCTCCTTGACCAAAAGAAAAGTCCTCTGTAAATCCAACTGTACAAATTAAAGGTAACAGGGATTTTTTTTTAATACACTTCCATTTTTTAAATTGGGGGAGAAATGGTCCATGAAAGATCTCAAATGAGCAATGATATTTTGAAAAGATAGCAAGTTATGTCGCACTGCTTAAATTATGTCACACTGCTTAAAGATACTTGGTTTGAAGAAATTATTCCTTAACAGTTACTGTTAAACTACCCTATCTTACTTGGATCCATGGGTCACTCTGAAAAGTGAGAACCACTCAACAACTTTCCTTCTACCAATACCCTGTCAACACAGCTACAGTAATTTCCTCATCTTCAAATCACCAAGATAATTTGAAAGGCAAAAAGTGAGGTTACCTTCGTCATCTACAATCCCATTTATTCACTTAGCAGTGCTGCCTCCATTAGCACCGAACCAAAAGTGGGCCTGCTCCTTATCACCGTTTAAATGTTCTGTGAATAACTGCCAAGTGTGATGGAATGCTTCCCAAAGCACTGCAGCATCTGAACATGCCCACTCCACTCGACAAAAAAATTCAGTGAAAGCACTTCTAATGAGGCTCGATAATGTGTTAACTCAGTGTCCAAACGACTGTACATCTATTACGTGAACACTCAAAATACAAAGTTAACGTTTTAAATATCTTCAAAATCTCTACTAGGCCCTAGAAAAATCAAGCTACTCCTTCCAGAGGGAGGCTCTGGAAGGGAATGAATACCAAAACTTGAATCTGCACAATGACTTCAAGTTAACACCGAAGTGCAATGTTTTATAAAACCTGTTTCACTCTTCAACAACAAAAACCCTCACTAAGCGCACTTGGCACAAGCGCGCTTGCAAGTGAGTTGTTGAAAGGAATTCTCAACTCCAGTTCTTCCATTCTCACTGAAACTTGAACTGAGGACCAGCACCCAAAGGAGCCCCAGTGCTTCCATGCCGGCGATGGGGACATTTAGGAGCGTTTTCCTAGTCCAGTGGGCGAGCACTGGAGAAGGGTTAATATTCCGGCAACAACTAAAATAGAATATGATTATGTAAAGACAGCCCCCTCTTTTGCGTCCGGTCCCACTCGCCCACGACTAGCCCTGGGGCTGGGAGCTCCAAGGGGGGAGGGGTGGTCCCTGAATCACCCTTCCAGAACACCAGCACCCCAAATCACAAACGCGGACGCCCCCGAGACGCCCGGCGGACAAGCAGGAGGCACGGACTGCAAAGGGTGCTGGAACTGGGGAGAAGCCAGCCCGGGAAGAGCCCGCACCCAAGGCAGCCACGCCCCCCACCCCCAACTCCAGCCCGGCGCGCCGCAGAGCCAGCCCCGCCAGCCACCTGACAGAAGCGGCTACGAGGAGGTTGCGGAGAGGGCTCCCAGACGCGCGAGGGACACCGCCGCGACCCTCGAACGCCACCGCTGCCCGCCCTGACCTGTGTCTGCCGCCGCGCGACCGCCCGCCCCGCCGCAGCCTCTGCCTCTTCGCTCTCACGATGCCGCCGCGGCCACCGTCGCCACCTCCTGCGCGGCTACCCTCACCGGCCTCAGGCGCCCCATTCCCACCCCGCCCAGCCTCCGCCTGTTTACAATGATTGGGACAGAACGGGACGAGCCGGCCCAACGCGCACGCGCACTCCCTCCTCCCGCCGCGGCCAGCTTCCCGAGTCCGCCTCTCAAAGCTGACGGCTCCGGCCGTCAAGGGCAAACGCTCTACCCCCTTAGAACAGGGCATGCTGGGAGATGTAGTTCTGAAAACCCGGGGCCTATTTCTATAGCAAGTCACGTCGTGAGAAAACAAACTACAACACCTAGAAGGCTCCGCGCTTCCTTCGGATTGAGGACCAGTTGAGAAGAACTGTAGGAGCGCGCGAGAGAACTGGCCGCGCCAGTGCAGTGCGGGCGCCTGCGCAGTTCCGGGTCTTGGGGGACAGGGTGGGACGAACACGTACCCGGGCGTTGATCGGTGAGGATGATTTGAAGTTTTTCCTTGCAGTGGTGCTGTCCGCGCTCTGGCCTGCCTGTTCCTCAGCTCCTGAAGTTAGACCTTTTGTGCCAGCAGATTTGAGTCGCTCTAACCTGTTCAACCAGCTTAGGAGGTCAGCCCGTCCTCCTGGGTGGGGCTTCTCCGCCTGAGAAAGGGTGGGGAGGCTTTTGCTGGAGGAGGGAGCGCCTGCTGAGAGTTTGGGGTGCGAAAAGGAAGCTCTGGGAGCCTCTGAAGAGGGATGCATTAAACTGTGGGGACCACCCTCAGTTGGGTGTTGAAAAGGGCCAGCCCCTGGTTCTGGCGGGACAGCGGACCTGGTTTGCATGGCGCTCTTTGGCTCACCATTTGCAAAATGACACCTAAATTAGAACAACCTGGTCCTGTGTGTAGCTTACAAGTAGGACTGAATCATGAGGAAGATTGGATGGATTTCCTGCAGAAATCCTTCACAAAGCGTTGAAGGGTTGAAGGCTGGAAAGTCTTCGGAAGTGCTTACGCTCTAAAATTTGGCAGTTATTTAAGAGAAAGATATGATTTGGGGTAGATGGTTTTTCCCAGTCTCTTCCAGCCCTACAAGCCACATCTCTTTAATACTTAATTACATATTTAGATTGACTGCGGCAGTGCATCCTACCCTATATGTTCCAAATCCCGGTTTTTCAAATCTGATAATAGGTCTATCTTTTATACTGTGTATTTCCTGCCTAGTAAAAGGTTATCTCCCTCAGCTTGGGTACTAAGATGCTCTGTGAAAACCATTGTATTTTGACTGGAAAACTTAATGCCCCTTTAGCAGCAAATCAGTGGCTCCTGACCACTGAGATGGACCTGTGACTACCCAGTTACAATACTCGGCCTCTGGCAACACTCCTTGGGCTTAAGGGATAGGCACTGACCCAAGCTGGTAGTTAGTTACACAGCCCTTGCTTGAAATGAATACTGACAGAGAGGAGGGAAAGCATAGAGCTTTACTACTGAGGTGACTGTTGATAGCCAAAGTTGTCTACAATATAGAGAGACCTGTCTGCAGTAGGTATGAATGTTGCCCAAGGGAAGAGGTGTTGAGGGAGAAGGAGAAAATGAGCTAGCAGTAGGAAGACCTTAGTTTCAGAGGCTATAGTTTTTATGACTCTTCTCTAGTGCTTTGAGTATGTGTGCCTAACTGAATGAGCTAATCCATTTATTTGTTGTTTTTAGGGATCGTTTGTGTGGATATAGAAAACATTTGTTGGTTAGCATTCATTTCTCTGATTTAAGCTATACAGCGTAGCCATTTCCTCTGGTGGCTGAGTTTCAGAGATGGTATGTCACCTAATCAAAACCAGTCAGTTCCACAGACTTACATTGGAATTCCTAGTGAACTGTAACTTTCTTGATCTTCTGATGTGACATAAGTATCTGGAAATGTGGCATTTACTGTGCTTTTACAAGGGAGACATCCTGTACATATAGAGGCTTAGGGAAGGACTCCAGTAGAGTCTGAAGATGAAGTGGACACTGTCAGATGGAGCACCGCAAAGATGGAGAAGAACTTTGTGTTTGCTAGCATCACTGGAGATGCACTATCAAATGCCACCTTTGGCCTATTCTACAGACTGTCCTAGAAACTGTTCAGAATCATGAGGCATTCATTTCCTATATTGTTTAACCCAGTTTGTACTAGGGGTATTGGAGCTTGTGACTCAAATTTCTAGAAGTCCTAATTAATTTAGTTGAATTGCTTTTACTTGACATAGAAATACCCTATTAAATATTGAATATTACTCATTGAAATAATGACTAATACAGGTTCCTACTTAAACTTCAGAAGAGACTTTTAGCTTTGGCTGTGTGATATGGCTAACAATTCCTCTGCACACAAAACAAGTATGAAGCAGGATAAAATTGCTAAAAACAACCTTAGGGGGTTCTGAGAAACATCTATTATTGGAAAACAACTAGAAACCCTAGTAGGAACAAAAGATTTCTTTGACCTTTGCTGAGGTTGCATCTGCCCTGCCCTGTAGTTTTACCAGATGGGTGGGACTAGCCAAGAAAATTAGCAGCTTCACTGCCAGAAGGGATGGACTCAATTTGTGGTAGAAGGTCATGACTTAGCCAGCTAAAAGTGAGGCACTCAAATGAAAACATAGAAAACCCAGTGTCACTAACTCCAGTGTGCAGTCACAGGTAGTACTCATGCCAAGTCAATAAAAAATGTAACCGAGATATTTGAAATAAGAGTGTTGAACAGCAAAGATGCGCCTCCACCATTCTCTGATTGTTTGGGAAATCATGCTCTTACCTGGAGATGATCCAAGAAACCCACTGAAAAGTGAAAGCCCAAGGAAACTTGAGAACTGATGGCAACTATGAATGTATTCATCAGTCTACAAAACAGATCAATTGGCAGAGGAAGGAAGACTTGCAAACTTATTTAGCTACACCCTCTGCATAAATTATTGACTGGCCACTCAGTTATGCAGACAGAAGCAGCCTCCAGAACATCAAGCTAAAAATAAAAATGAGAATTTAAACACCCAGAGATACAGTCAGTCAGTCATAGGACAAATTCCAAATCTGTCTAAACCTAGGTAGAAATAGCCTATACAGTTGCTACAATATATTATGTAAAATATGCATTTAAAAGTAAACTTGTGGGTCCTCCCTGGTGGCTCATTGGGTTGAAGTACAGCATTAAGAAGCTAAAACCACTTCAGCAGTTCGATCCCCAACCCTGGAGGTGATCCTCATGGCACAGTTCCTCTCCTGACCTGCCCGCCCGCTGCTCCCCTCAGCAGTGTACTTCATCAGTCGGCCTGTTCTGCTCTCCATTCTGTCTCTGGTGAATCCTCTCACCACCCCTGCACCTCTGGCCTGTACCCCAGTTCTGTAAGCATAAATAAATAAATCTTTTTAAAAAGAAACTTGTAGTACATGCAGAAAACAGGAATGTATTACCCACTTTGGGGATAGGGGGTTGTGGGGAGGGGACGTTGGCAATCAGTAGAAACTGACTTTGGGTCCAGACACTGGATTTATATGCAAACTCATCATAGAAGCTATTATTTTTTTAATCAAAGGAAATTTTTCAAAGAATTAAAGGAAAATATGATGACAATTATTTTTAAATAGAGAACCTCAATAAGGAAAAATAGTATAAAAAATAAAATTTCATTCAAATGGAATAATTGAGAAATATAACAGAAATGAATCATTTACCAAATGACCTCAGAGGAAGCTCATCAGTATATTTGAAGACAGGTGAATACAAATTATTCTATCCAAAGAATAATAAAAATGATTGAGAGAAAAAAAGGAAAGAAATAAGGACACATCCATATTGTCTCTACCTCTTAAGACAAAATAGAAAGGGCATGTTTTGGCATTGAGTCAGACTCAAGGACGTGTTTTGTAGTTATAAAATAAAAAAACTAGAAAGAAATGGAAATACTTAAGTATTGATGAGTGCACATTATTCTTATAATCTTAAATATTTTAATAAAACTTACACAAATTGTTATAGGGAGGATGGAGTCAAGTTAGTTTAACAAAATGGTGAATGAATAATAAAAAGAAAATGAATATGGGGCCTCAGAGACCTGTGGACTCACATTAAATACCTCAACATGTGAAATGAGAGTCCCAGAAGAGAGATGGAGATCAAACATTTTTAAAATAATGATCACTTACCAAACTTTTTTTTCTTAATCTACAGGTAAAAGAAGGTTAATGAACTCAAAGTAAGAAATACAAAGAGAACCACAACTATATAACCACAATCATAGTACTGCTTAAAAGCAATGGAAAAAAAGAAAATGCTTGAAAGTGACAAAAGGGAAGTGATTCCTCATGTGCAGATAAAAAACAATATTAACAATAGCTGACTTAGCAGCAATCGGTACTGCCTACACAGAGTAGAAAAGGCAGCAGATGATATACTCCATGTACTGAGAAAAAAACTGCAACCAAGAATTTTGTAACTGATGAAACATTGTTTTAAAAAATGAAGGAAATTTTGGGCTCTCCCTAGTGGTACAAGGATAGCTTTATAGCACAGCACTATAAAGCTATCCATAGCCACTGCAGCTCAAGGTCAAACCTCTGCCTGGGGAGGTGCCCCAAGGCACAGCAGACCTCTCCTGTCCAGCCCCTTGCTCCCCTCAGCAGTGCACTTCAGTCATTCAATCTGTTCTCCTCATGCTGTCTCTGGTGAATACTCTGATCCCTCCACACACACACCTCTAGCCTTTGCCCCAGTTCTTGTATGCATAAATAAATCTTTTAAAAAATAAAAATGAAGGAAATTCTTTAAATAACCCCACAGAAACAAATCTAAGAGACTCTGTTGTGAGCAAACCTACCCTACAAGAAATTTGAAGAAAAGTTCTGCTGAAAGGAAATGATGACAAGAGGAAGGTAATTATTTTTTCGTATATAGTTAATGTCTTTATATATATTTTACATCAGATTTAGTCCCCATAGAATTTCCACCACTCATTCACCCATACACCCTTGCCTTAGTCCCTTCTCTTTCCACCCTTGCTTTATACCCTCTCCCTAAGGGGCTAATTCTGATGTGCAGGAAGGACTGCAGATGTGGAGCTTTTAAATATGAGGACAAATATAAGAATGATTCTTCATATATATATATATATATATATATATATACACACACACA